CCCCAAAACCCCAAAACCCCAAAACCCCAAAACCCCTGAATTTAGAATGACAAAATGATAAATTAAATTGATGGGAAAATTGAAATTTTGAGATTTAGGGTAATTAATAGCTATATCGCAAACAACTTTTTCACAATAGACTTGAATCGTCATCATCGGGTTTATTATCTCCTCCGTTATTTCCACCGCCTGGCTATTATTGATCACCACCATTACCACTACCACCACCTGGCTGTTGTTAGTTTTGATTAGGTGGCTATTGTTGCTACTAGTTTTAAGATGAAGCAACAATTGATTCTTGGAGAGCTGCCTCCTCATCTTCAAAACCAGTTTCAAATAGGTAATTAGCTGCAAGTTCTTCATTTTTATCACAAGCAAAATATGCCTCTGCTGCTTTATGCTTAGGGAAACCTAATGATGTTAATCTATTGATTGCATCCATCTCCTCTTGAGTAACTCTAATAGATCCTGGTGGGTTAGCTTAACCTCCCATACCACCCATGCCTCCATGAGCTCCTGCACCGGCTCCTCCAGCTCCTCCTAGAGCAGCTGCGTTTGGATCTCCAGCAATCAGTAGATTCATGAATGCCATTGGGTTTGATTGGATGAGTTAGAAGAGTTGAGGTTAGGTGGTTTAAAGCTAGGCCATGAATTATTGATAGAATTATGGGTCTTAGAGAATTCTTTATCTGACCATATTGAAGTTTGGATTTTGGGCTAAAGCGGCAAATGGATTGCCAGCTCCTCCAAATGGATCTTAGGATCCCTCTTCATCACCATAATCATCTCCCATTTCATCACCTCCTGCATTTTCAAGTCCACCTGGTTGAGAAAGGCCAGCTAGATTAACACCTGAGAAAAGATACTCACATGCACGATCTGGATTTCCAAATGCAGCTCTTAAAGCTAAAATACATTGATCTCTTGGCTTTCCGGATATCATGATCAATTCCTAAACTTATGCTTCCTACTCGGGAGTTATTTGACCACCTGCAGCTGATCCAATTGGTTGCTATTGCTATTGTGCTGCTGGTTGTTATTATTGGATAGGTTGTTGTTATTGTTGTTGAATTGGTGGTTGTTATTGCTGTTATTATGAAGCAGCAGATTCCTCTTGCTTAACATCTTCTTTTTACTTTGGAGCTGGCTTAGCCTATTACATAGAGATGATGACAATTATATTAAGTTACCTTTGCTATCATGACGACCAAAAAATCACCTTCTTTTATGGAGTAATCCTTAAGAGTCTTACTATCTTCTTCCATGACCTTTCCATAAGCAATCAGCTTCATTAAGTCTGCTTGCATTTGATGCTCGGCTTGGATCTTCTCCTTGACTTGTCTGATCTACAGAATGGTCTAATATCATTGATTCACTTACTGTGTCAGTCTCTTCGACCTCGAGTGGGAGTTATTTTCCTTAAAGAGTCTTGATGACAATTTTCATTTTTAAATTCGTAAATAAAGATTATACTTTTAGAAAAATTTGGTTGACAATCCTGAATTAAGTCGTTTTAATTACTGACTTAAATATTTAACTCTATTATGATAGTTAGATCAAAATATTAATTTAATTGTTAAGATTATTTTAGACGAGCAAAGTTAAAAAGTTTGCCAACTGTGAGGTTCGAACTCACGCGGACTTTCGCCCAGTGGATCTTAAGTCCACCCCCTTAAACCACTCGGGCAAGTTGGCTACTCTGACGATCTAGTCTAAAACCTTGCCTTTATTATCCTTCAGAGAATGTATTCTATGGAATTTAATGATATATGCAATCTGATTAAATCCTTATAGACCAATTAAAATACCATTTTCTCGACTATAAATTACTTCATAAGACTCACTCTAAAATATCATTTTACCCTCTACTAATGCATCAATCGTCGATATTATCAAGCAAGATCCATCGAAATTCTATTTAATCAAGTGAAAATAGACTAATTAATTCCTTTTTCTCTAACTTTCTATGCATATAAGTGAATGGGGTTTTGGGGTTTTGGGGTTTTGGGGAGATCGGAAGAGCACACGTCTG